ACTCACTTCAGTCGGACCGACCGAGAAATTGTCACGCTAGGAAATAATATACCGGTAATAAAGCATTCGACCTCAGTTTTCAGTAGTCACAAAGTCTGTTTTTAAAGCTATAATACATTTATCTATGAGTCACATCATTCAATTGTGATCTATTCACTGGGTTCTGTGTCACTAATTTCTGTAAACAAAAACAATAAACTATATCACTAAAGCTGGTATCAAAAATCGAAACGAAGTTCAAAAAATATGAAACTTTTAGCGAATTCTCGGACCCTTAACTACCACAGGCCACGTTAAATTTATTTTTCCTTGATATATATTTATTGATGTTGTTACATTACATTGAAAAGGCGAAGCATTTTCCATGAAGGGATATCATTAGTGAAATCCGGTCACAAAATGTACACAATCATAAAAAAAGAAAAATTCCAAAAAAATGCCAAAAAATTATCAACCAGGAGCGAGTCTTCATAAATTGGACGCCGTGCTCAGTTCGAGACTTCACACTTGTGACCAGATGCTTCAAATGCCAACAGTATGGACACGCTGCAAGAACTTGCCGTGAAACAATCGACACGTGTGGACATTGTGGTGAATTAGGACATCAGTCAAATGCTTGCATTAAGAAAACTAATCCAGCAAAGTGTGCAACGTGCCTGCGTTTTAAAAAACCGAGGGACCATAAAACAGGTGACCGGAATGCCCGGCTAGGAAGATGGCTGAAAATAGGTATATTAATTCCATAGATTATAATGAGGGCGCCTAAGAGCGCCACCTTTAATTACCTTAATTCTTTTTGCCCTAATTTATAAGTTACTAATAAGTTTAAGTTATTATATATATATATATATATATATATATATATATATATATATATATATATATATATATATATATATATATATTAATATTGTTATTATTTCTGTTGAATAATATGGATAAGTTAAGTAATGAAATCGATGCTGTCAGTTTATCAGTGGCAAAAACACGTGAAATTGATATGTGCAAAAAATATCTCTTCAAACCTGCGAACTCTCTTACTATTTTAACACAGAACATTCGTAGTATAAATAAAAACATGGATAATTTCCATATCCTCCTTCGAAGATTGGACACTGACTGCGACATCATCATACTAACAGAATGTTGGCTATCTAAAAGCCAAAGCAACCTCCCATTACTGCCAGGTTACAATACTTTTAGTAGTAAAAAATTATATAACCAAAATGACGGTGTTGTAGTCTTTGCGAAAAAAAAATACGAACATATCAGTCGAGGAGCCTAATATGCTAGATTGTAGCAGGTTATTGGTGAAAGTGGGTCATGAAACTGCTATCCTTGCTGTTTACAGACCTTGTGGTTTTAAGCAAATAGACAATTTTATCACGTCATTAGACATTACACTTGGGAAACTGTCTTCGTTCAAAAATATAGTATTCACGGGTGATATGAATATTGATATTAACCCAGAAAGCAGTGAAGGCGGAGCAAAAGACTACCTTAATATATATGCATACCAGGGCCTGCTTCCAGCACATTTGCTCCCTACACATCTAAGTGGTTCTTGTTTAGACCACACTTTACTAAAAACTAGGTTACCATCAATAACCCTTGTCACCAGTCCTATAGTAACCGATCATAGTGCCGTCATTCTTAACTTAAGCCTTAAAATATCGAAACCTAATTGTAAGTACTCTATTACTAAAATTAATACGAAAAACCTTGAACAAGCAATTCAAAACATTGACTTTAGCCCAGTTTATAAAACCGATGACGTAAACATCTCTTTGCCTTACTTAATAAATAACATACGAAATGCCATTGCTAGCAATACTTCGTATAGAACAGTAGCTAAAAAAAATAATAACTTAAAGCCTTGGATTACACCTGGTCTGATTAGGTGCATGAAACACAGGGACAAACTACACCTGATGGCAAAGTCCACTTCAGATAATTCCGTTTTACAAATTTCATATAAAAGATATAGGATTTTTTGTAACAATTTATTAAAAAAAGTTGAAGTATCTTACAAACTTACTAGAAGAGTCTGGTAGAGATAATAAAAAGATTTGGTGGCATGTAAAAGATATTGCATTTATTTCCAAACAGCATGAATCTACGTCAGAATTATTACAAAATAATGCCTCGCCGCTTATATCAGCAAATACAGTAAATAATTACTTTGTGAACGTTGGTAAAAATCCGGCTGAGCAGATAACAAACCACTCTAACAATAATCGTGAATACAGGGCCACTTTATTAACTCAAAAAACCTGCCAATTAAGCTCGTTCACATTATTAGATACGGACCCTAGTGAGGTGGAAAGGATTATAATGGGACTGATTAACCCATATTTTCAGAATTTGTCTCTCTGAAGGAATTTTCCCAGATTGTTTAAAAAAAGCAATTGTAGTTCCAGTATTCAAATCGGGGGGACAAAAAAACATTTCCAATTATCGGCCTATCTCAATACTCTCATTCACGTCTAAAATATTAGAAAAATTAATTAACAACAGATTAATGAATTATTTACAAAGTAAATCATCAAGAATTAGATAAAGGCAACCAATCAATTGGCATTTTCCTTGACCTTGCAAAAGCATTTGATACGGTTTCTATTCCTATCCTATTAAATAAGTTAGAGAGCATAGGTATTCGAGGTAAGCAGCTTCAACTTTTTAAGAATTATTTAGAAAATCGATATCAATGCATAAAAATCGATAAGGTTGTTAGCTCTGAACAAAAAAGTACTCATTTTGGCGTGCCTCAAGGAAGTGTATTAGGGCCAACCCTATTTTTTATTTATTTAAATGACCTTTGCAATCTTGAACTTAACTCAGGTAAAATAATATCTTACGCAGATGATACCGTGCTACTTTTTCCGCAAATACAGTTGACAAGGTTTATTTATATGCTCAGCAAGGTTTTGATAGAGTTAATAAATGGCTCCAACAAAACATATTAACACTGAATACGGACAAAACCAAATATATTCATTTTTCTATGCGCAGCTCAACCCAGCATATAACCATTCCAGAACTTTATGCACATCAATGTTACTCAGTCACAGAGTCTAAATGTTACTGCCCACTTATTTCTAATACAAAAACTGTTAAGTACCTTGGAATAATTATAGATTCTACGTTTACCGTGAAGCCGTGGTAGCTCAGTGGTTAACGCTCGCTGTAAATATAACTGAACGCTAGTAACCCGGGTTCGATCCCCGCCGGCACCAATGAAATTGTTAATTGCAATTTTAAGTGCTGATTTACCACGTGCTCGGCGGTGAAGGAAAACATCGTGAGGAAACCTGCATGTCCGAGGAATAAGAAAAAAAATATTTCGAAGACATGTGAAGTTCGTCAACACGCATTTGGGCAGCGCGGCGGACACTTCCTTGCCCTAAACCCTCTCAGAAATGAGGGGAGGCCTGAGCCCAGCAGTGGGACGTATATAGGCTGTAACTTTACTACGTTTACATTTAAAAACCACATAAACCACCTATGCAATAGAGTTCGTAAACTAATGTCTGTTTTTAAAGAATTCGTTCTTTTGCTGATAATAAGGTAGTAAAACAAGTATATTACGCATTATGTCTGTCAATACTCACCTATTGTATAACCTCTAGGGGTGGAGCAGCTAAAACTACACTACTACCGCTGGAACGCGTTCAAAGAGCTGTATTTAAAAGTTGCAACATTCCGCCCTATTCTATTTCCATCCCATCTCTTATACAAATCCTATAATGTGTAATGCCTTATAGAAGAGAGGTCACTGATAAAAGGCGCAAAGATATTAAAGTAATTGAAACTAACATTAGAATAAGGCATTATTTCATATAGGAAATAGAATTATACTGTTCCTTATACGAAAACTGTGTCACCTAAATTAACTTTGAACTAATGTTCTCGTTTCACAATAATCATGAAAAACATCCCGAGCGTAAAAACTGAGAGAGCATTGAGTCAAAATGTAAATAATTTCTTATAATTTTGATAAGCTTAAAAACACTACTTGAATGAAAGTTTTTAACAGGAACTTAGCAGTTGATTACTTACTTACTTACTTATCTTCACCCATAATCCCTAACGGGGTAGCCAGAGAGAACAGATCGCCAAGTGTCACGATCCTTACATACCTCTTTCGCTTCTTTCAGGTTCATTAACTTCTTCATATATGCACGTCTAGGTATCCGAGTACTCTTGACCCTCCCCTCTTCGAGTAATTTGCTCACATGGACTTCGAAGGTTAGTCTCGCTCTACCTCGACACCTTTTAATATTTACTTTCGCTCTATATATTTTCTTCACCATTCGGTATTCACTCATTCGTTCAACGTGCCCAAACCATTGGAGTACGCCCCTATCAATTTTTGTGATAAGGTCATCTTTCAATCCTGCCATATTGCGAATCTCTTCGTTTCGCTTTCGGTCGGCTATGGTAACGCCACACATTTTACGAAGAGATCGCATCTCCACTGCATTCAACTTGCTTTTATGCTTCTTCGGGCATACCCAGATTTCGCTGCCATATAACAAAGTCGGTACTAACACTGCGTTATGTATTGCAAGGCGTGCACTCTTCACTCTCTGAAGAGCAGTTGATAAAAACTAAAAATTAATTATTGTTAAATAACATTCTTCTTAGCATCTAAACAATAGGTACTTGTAGTTTCATTGCAGTAGGAATTAAACATTAAAAATCACAGTTGTTTGATGTTAATTATTAACAATTTTTATTAAGCAAGTTTTATTTTTGTAATTGGTAATATTTAATATTCATCACATCTTTATTTAATTCAGTATGTACCTTAGCTTAATTATCTATCTCTCTAATTAAATCAAAATCACAGCATTATTTAAGTATGTGCCTCATATTCTATCTACCTAATTGATAATATTTAATAATCATCACAGCTTTATTCAGACTGATTCATCTTATGACTATTAAAAATTTTTTGGTAACTAGTTAAATAAAAAAATAAAATTTATATAAAAAAATTAAGTATCTTCTTTACTATGCTTAAGATTCTTGTAGAAGTCATGATATTTTTTTGGGATAATCATTGTATCGCATAAACTAACCAAGTCTTTATATTTCACTTCGGTGATAGGAATAGGATTATTGAACAACTTGTCTAGTTTTGGTTCTTGTTCCTTCTTTTTCCTCCCACTAGTCAATTTCAAATTAAGGCCACAGTTCAGTTTTCTATAATTTTCTTCAAAAAAAATCGTATTTAAATTCAATAATGTCTGGTTTATCCCATTGCACTTTTACTTCTCTCTTTCTTATTCCAAGACATTTTCTCTGATTTTGTATCTTTTATCCAGTTTTAGTATGTAGCCAAGCTTTGAAATTCAAAATTAAGTCTTGATTTACTTCTACGACTGTATAAGCTGGGCTATTCTGTTTTGCCCAGCGAACCAGGGTGTACCGTTCATCTGGTGTGTAAATAAGTTCATTTTTTGTTGTTCGCTCTATTAATGCGTGAACGTTATCTGCCTCATTTTGAGTATGGCCTTTTTCCAAGAATCGATGGCACTACGTCTACTTTGAATGTATTGCTTACATACAAGTACATAAAAAAAAACAATACGATTGCGATTCTGACCGGCACAGTAGTCTGACCAGGATCTAAAATCTTTGACGCCAGCTTTAACTTTGTTGTTAACGAAAAAAAAAACAACTAGCCGATTCATTGGCGCCATAACTGTTCCCACATGTAACAAGTAATAATTTCCTTTTGTAATACAGCACACTAATTTCACCATGTGGAGTGTTATTTATTTTTTGAAAATCGAACATCGCTGTGCAAATATCAGAGGGATTTGATTGAGATTCAATTGTATCAAATTTTTTTAACTCCCTGGCAAGTTTTTTGTTATCAATTTGTGACTTATGCTTCAGTTTATCATCATTGGTTGGCGAGGTGTTGTTTTTCATTGCGTGACACAGGTCGCATTGGTCCTTTTTAAGTACGTGAAAAGCTACGTTAAGTTCTTTGTTAACAATATCTTTGTATTGTCTTATAGAAGTAGCTATATTTTCAGTTATATTCAGCTCTTTACACCATACAGTATACAGGTCATATATTTTTTTAAAGTCAATTCACTATCTAAATACTGTTTATTTCAGTCTTTGCGCGTGTAATGACTTTCTATGGGCGCAAAACATTTTACATGTTCAATAACATTTTCTTTCATTTCCGCGTTTATAATAGTTGGATGATTTGAATGAAATCCCCTCATGTCTTTAGAACAAAAACCCGTATTTTTGTCATGCTTGTCATTTGTTACTTATAGAAAACGTATTTTTAAACATGGTTTTGCATACTATAATCTTCTTTTCGTGGCCACTACCAGACAAAAGCGGCAAAAAAAAACTTATAAACATTTAACCTCCTGGAATCCTGTGTCCATTGTTTTTTTCTTATTTCTTTCACGTGCGACGTAATAAAAGACCACTGCTGAGAATTATCCCATAGATCCTAAAAAGTTTTTGAATATATTTTTGCGAGCTACCACATCAAATTTTTCAAAACATTTTAATTGACAGTTAGATGGACATGGAATCTTCATTTGTTTTGCCATTTGTAGTTTTCCGGATCGAGATGTATGAGCTTCACCTAAATTGACAAGCACCTTCCTTTTTTCATCAATGCAGTTAGATTTGTTAGTAATTCTGTTCCTTGTTATTGCTTTTTTCACATACTGACGCTTTTTTTTCGTTGGTGCGGTGTTGATGAACCAGAAATTTCACTGGATCCTAACGGGCTTATCCTAACTCGACGACTTCCAGCCTCCCGAACAAGCCGGTTTCCGAAAAGGCTTCAGTACCATAGACCACATACATACCCTGCGGCAGATTGTACAGAAGACCGAAGAGTACAATCTGCCACTTTGCCTGGCGTATGTGGACTATGAGAAAGCCCTTGATTCCGTCGAAATTTGGGCGGTGCTAGAGTCCCTTCAGCGGTGCCAAATGACTGTCGGTATATCGAAGTGCTGAAGTGTTTATACAGTAGGGCTACGATGGCTATCCGAGTACAGAACCAGAGTTCGAAACCTATCCAACTGCAGAGAGGTGTAAGACAGGGTGACGTTATATCCCCGAAACTCTTCACCGCTGCGTTGGAAGACGTTTTCAAGCTACTGGACTGGAAAAGGAAACGGTATTAACATCAATGGCGAGTACATCACTCACATTCGATTTGCCGACGATATAGTCCTTATGGCAGAATCGCTGGAGGACCTTAGCACTATGCTCAATGACCTCAATGGTGTCTCCCAACGGATAGGTCTTAAGATGAACATGGACAAAACAAAGAATAAGTTCAATTTCCATGTCACACCTATGCCGGTAGTTGTGGGGAGCACTATGCTCGAAGTTGTTGACGAGTACGTTTACCTGGGACAAATAGTCCGACTAGGTAAGTCCAACTTCGACCGAGAGGTCAATCGACGGATTCAACTCGGCTGGGCAGCGTTCGGGAAATTACGACACATCTTCTCGTCAGGTATACCTCAATCTCTGAAAACTAAAGTGTACAACCAGTGCGTGTTGCCAGTGACGACTTACGGATAAGAGACGTGGTCCTTCACTGCTGGCCGTATGAGGACGCTCAAGGTCGCTCAGCGAGCTATGGAGAGGGCTATGCTCGGAGTTTCTCTGCGTGATAGTCTCAGAAATGAGGATATCCGCAGTAAAACCAGAGTGACCGACATAGCCCAACGGATTAGTAAGCTGAAGTGGCAATGGGCCGGCCATATAGCTCGAAGAACCGATAACCGATGGGGAAGAAAGGTTCTCGAGTGGCAGCCGGTAGGCGTAGTGTAGGGTGACCCCCACTAGATGGAGTGACGACCTGGTAAGACATGCAGGAATTCGATGGATGCAGGTGGCTCAGGACCGTGCTTTGTGGCATTACTTGGGGGAGGCCTATGTTCAGCAGTGGACTTGTGAAGGGCTGTAATGATGATGATGATGATAACGGGCTTGATCTTAAGGTTGCATCAGATGGGAGAACAGTACTTTCGCTTAAATAGTTACATTCGTTTACAGTGTCCCCAAAGGACACGCATGGACTTGGCATTGGTGTTGAACCACAATTTTCAGGTATTGATTGTGGTGTTTCATCTTCACAAATGGGCGTGGTGAGATCGTAATTTTCAATTTCAACATTCGAAATTTCCCCTACCGTATCGATTATATAATTCAAATCATCACTATGCGCTTCGGCAGCTTGTCTTTCGTCGATAGAAACTTCCAAATGCCGATTCTCAAGATCCATTGATACATCTTTTTCGGTATATGTAGGTGTATCTTAAAAATAAATTGTAAAAAAATGTATGTTTATCCAACAACATTAATAAACGTACATGAAAACAAATTCATACATAAATGTTCTAGTTACACGTATATACAACCATGTGAGACATGACTTCATATACTTCGATAACAATAAAAACTTTTTCTTTATTATAATTATTTCATAGAAATCATATTTTAAAGAAGCATGCAACTTATAATTATTTGTACAATAATGATAATTTAATGACTATATCATAGTTTAAGCGGATATATGTGATTTGTCTGCTTTTACACTGCGATCGGTTAGAAAAACAATAAAAATACTTATTGTTATCGGTTTTGTGTATTATTGAGTGTTTAATATATACTTATTTGAATAAATACTTACCCTCATTAGCTTCAGCAATATAATTAATTAAATTTTGTGCTTCAGAAACGCATAAAACATTATTTCTGGAGTTTGCAATATCCACCAATAACTTTGATCTACTGTTATTCATGTTTACAGTATTTTGCAGGAAATTTTATTTTTAGCTAAAAACACACCACTAAATCATAACTGTATTAAAACAATCATTTCACCACGCAAACAAGCATCGACACGTCTTCTCCAAGTGAACGAAATTAAGTCAGACAAGACCGCGCTCGCACAGGGTGGCGCGCATTTTAAAACGCCGTACGGAATGAAAGGTATAGATATCCGCATCTACGACATTTATTCGTAGTAATTATCATACTTATTCTCTTTACGATTTTTAAATGAAGTTAAATACGTAATATTTTGAAAAAAATCTTATATAGGTATGTGCATAAGGAAAATTTAAAGCCAATTATGCAATAAAAAAATGCCATTTTTGACATGACTTTATGTACGTAGGGACCGTCGAAATAATAATCGCGTTTAAATCTGTAAATTTATGTCACCTAAGGATTTTAATAAAATTGAAGTTAAAGAAAAATTAACTAACAATTCACCTTATTGTAAACGGCAACTTCAGTCCATTGACACCTAAAGCCAACTTCAAACAAAAAAGCCATGCACGCATGCGCTTTCACCTCCTTGAACTAAGATGGAATGTCTTACAATCTGCAGTTATACTGAATGCAACAAAACATTATCATCATCATCAACATCCTTAGCCACCAGTATCTTATATAATATCATATTTATTACAATAAAACTTGGGCATACATGGTTTATTATTTCTATGAAGACTATTTGTACTACAGCCATTGTCCATTAAATAAAGCATTCTTTGAAATAAAAAGTAATATTAGAATATCAATGAAACGTACGGTAGGAATGTCCTAGCGGTAATTTTATTCATAAAATACGAAAACACAGACCAGAGAGAAATTCCGTACCATTTTGTAGAAAACATTACGGCTTACATAGAAATATCGCATTTGTGTAGCCGTACTATATACTATTGTCGTGAATGAAACTGAAAACGCAGCAATAAAACGATTTCTTACTGTACGTATGTTGGTAGGCTACAAAAGCAAACACCGAAGATAAGGTTTTATTACCACACACATAGCCGTCTGGCAGGACTCGCCCAGAGTTAATATCCAGATCTGTCATTTAAAGTTCTAAATATATAAGAATATATTGAATATTTAACCATTAATAAAGCCTGAAGCTGAAGTACATAACATGCCCCATAGATTGCTTATGAGATATCCTTTTTTACTTTCTTTTTAATAAACGTTACACTAAGATTTTTTCCTGTATTGTGGTGGCAGTTTTCTTACATATATTTCGCAAGGACAAACATTAAGACTCGGAATCGGTATTTGCAGACCATACAAATACTTGTTCTGTGCGAAATTCCAACCTGTGCCCTTAGCGCTGCAACTTACTGAGGCACGGAACATATACAGCATGGAAAATAACCAGACTCAAAAACTTGCATTTTTACAGAAAGAAATGCTAATTTTGACTGAGATTTCAAATAAAAACCTGCGACATTATAGTCAGCTATAATTTTTGGATTACTCTAACCTTTTAAACGTATTATTACTGTCTATTAAAAGTGCACTACTGAACGTAAGCCTGCCACACAGATTGCCTCATAGGGGAGTATTTGCTACAGTTGCCACGCTCCGCAAGCGGAGTGGCAACCGCAGTTTTTATTTTCGCGCAGCTGTTGCTCAGCTGTTGTCCAGACATACTGCTACCCATCACTTAATTCAATTTCCCTCGGTCACCTCTTGCGACATCCTGGAGATGATGCCACCACACGGCTTATACATATGGAACTTTAGTTAATAGCGATTAAACAAAGCTAAACAATATGTCGAGATATATTTTTGTTATAAAACACAACGTATTAAATAAATAAATAACGCCGAGAAACAAAGTTATAGATGCGAGATGTCAGGTACGGAGTAAATAAACCGTCTGTCAAGCGTGATGATATGGGGAAGTGGATATTCTTACAACAATAAAAAGAAGCTAAAAATATCTTGAAAGATATTTTTCCTCATCAATCACAACGTATTCAGTAACAACAAGGAACAGAGTCGGAGGTATGAGATGTCAGATACTAAGCAAAACAAACGCTCAGTCAATCGTAGTAATTATGTAAAATATTTGTTCGTATAAGTTCGTCATAGAATGTCGATGAACTGATGAAGATGAAGAAGTTAACTTAATAATGATTCTTTAATCTTTGATAAAATTTACTATAGGGACAACAAAACACAGCAATGAAATTAAATTAAAAATAAATTTTTATTTAACAGCTCTGTGCCGGATTAGTATCCTATATAAGTAGACACATCATTTTTATTTTAATTAGAGGAGAGATCAAAGCTTTGGAACACAACATTTAGGACATACTTAGCTAATTTGTTATCTTTAAAACCCATATGACAAGGAATGAGCGCATATAAGTGCAAGTTGTTTTAATGCAGTTTTGAACACCCTGGATCTTGGATCCTGGATATAAGGTCATATTCTTTGTGGCGAATAAGTAAGGAGGACCCTATTAATTTTTTGAGACGATTTGTTACTAAAGCTAATGCAATTTATATTCTGAGGGTGACTAATTACTGTGTAGAAAGTCATTTGATCAAGTTGATTACATACACATATTCTTGCCACCATGGAGCAACGCGTGCACTGATGTGTTCTAGTCCGAAGAACATAGAGGGCAGCACAAAGGCTGAGAAATAATGACGACGCATCTGTTGCCTTCTTTGTATATACCACAAGCAATGAGATAAACTACAATATCGTTTGTCACACACAATAATCTTAAACAAAACCCTTTTTTAATGCTCAGCTATAAAAAATCTCCATAGAGCTGAGATCAAAGTAATTTATCATCTTTTTTATCTAGAGCTCCAACTAATTGGTCGGCAATTTAATATTTCTATCGCCTCTGTATTCGTTCTTGACAAGTAAGGGTTTAAAAAATTGTTTGACTTAGACTTAGAGTTTTATTTTAATGGCATCAAAATTTTATTATTATTTATAACCACGTAAATATTTCACAAGAAACAACAATTTTAAAAATACAGGTGCCTTAGATTAGCAATTTACATGAACTGTCATCTGTAATTACGAAACATATTACAAATTTCAGACAAAGTTTTTGTAAGGAAAATTAACCGCGAAGTAGGCTCATAAACTTTTACAATAGCTGCTGTTGTCGGAGATACTGACACCTGAATAAATTATTTTTATTATGATAAGAAAAATATGGACTTAATTATACATTACTATTCCTTTTTTATAGGATACAGTGACAAACGATTACACAGTCCACATGATGGTAAGTGGTTGCTGTAGCCCATAGACATCTGTACTCGATTTAGAATCAAAATCCAGATGCGTTGTCACCCATGAGGACTAAGATAGAATGTCTCGTTTTCAGTAAAAAGGGTCTCCGCTTGTCTACACTCACCATACGAAACACAGCAGCATTAAGCTACTATTTGACGCTGGTATTCTGTGAGAGCGTGGTCCTTCCCCGGTCGACCTGACCCATTCGTACTACAACTATACTATTAATATAACTGAAGCATAGCTCTACCACGTATAATTTCAATTTCAATTCTTTATCGTTTCACATTAAGCCCTTGCTTGTATATCGATAGGCTTTTTATTCTCTTTAGTTGCAAAGACATGACATCTACACAATGTAACATTTAAGCAGCAACATTTGACAGCGTATCCATATTTAGGTGTCAATGGGTCTTAATGTCCAGGTGAACTGTGTGCTTTTTTGTCACCATTATTCTCTAAAAAACTTAGTGTCATATAAACATAAGACAGTAAGAAATAAATACATTAGTATATAGTACTTGTAGTAGTACTTTTTATGGACTATTTGGTAGGGAATGGTTTTGAAATGCGAACTAAATAGCTTATTGTAACAGTACACTTACGTAGTAAATAAAACAATTCTCCCAGCAATAAAACAATGTATTAACTTACGTTTGTGTTGTTAGGGTATGTACGCATAAAAAACAAGGTTTTATAACGTACTGCTAGCAACATTACTGAAACTTTATTTCTAACCCGAAAAATATTTGCGGAATTTTCTAAATGTAGATTCAATGTGCGTATTGTAACGTTTTATATTTGTGTATATTCATATATTATTTTTCTTAATGTATGCTTAACTTATACATATTATCTTTGCCTGCTTCTGATGGCAAATAGCAGTGCCTGCTCAGCCAAAAGGTATGGAGAGCCAGTAGCCAGTAGAGTTACAGACAGTGATACATGTCATCCCAGGCCTCAGGGGTGACAATGCATTAGTAGCCTCGTTTGTTTACAAAGGTTGCAGGTGTACTATTATCTAGATGTTAGTGCTGTTAGGCTATGCGACTCTTACAGCTTCATCTTGTCTCAGGGCCTTGCAGGCCGCGACTTAACCAATGCGGTGGCAACTTACCATCAGGTGTGCTGTAAGTTCGTATGCAATTCAGTTTTATATTGCAAAATCGTATGTGATATTCATATATACACATAACATATTTATAAAATTAAAAAACTCTTTTATTTTCGATCGAGTCGGTCGAGTCGACCCATCTGTGCTACACAGCCGTAATATAGCCGTAATATGCTTTACCACTAAAATACAACTGCAACATCTACAGAATTTCTTGTAAAAATACTAAAGCAAACAACTATCTTTTACTAGAGAACAGAAAAATCTTGTGCTTTACTGTGTAACGTAAATTCTATTTAAAATATTTTAGAGAGAAAAGTATTTAAGATATAGCATTAAAGGTAAAAAAGCAAGTCTCAAAATAAATACTAAAGAAATAAAATGTTTTTTATTGTTTGCAGCTTTTGCTAGAATATTGCACACGCTACGTTTCAACAACGTGAGGTTGCAAACTCATACACTTAAAAAAAAAACAAGTAAAAAGCAGTCTATTTTAAATTTAAATATTCAAGTAGTCTCTTGGAGTTTCTCAGTAAAAACGTGTAAGCAATATTCGATTTAAAATTTTAAGATCGAACTCTATGGAACAAAAT